TTTTCTAATATTTTGATTAACACAACTACCTCATGAGGTAAGCCACATTAATTATCCCTATTTTATAGACAAAGAAACTGATACTCAGAGGGATATGACTTCTCCAAAGTCACATGAGTGGTAAGGTGGCAAGGGCATCAGGTCTAGGATCCATATATTGCAACTTGGTCCAGTACCTTTTCTATTATACAGTGTTGCACTTTTATTCCCTTACTAGGATAGAAGCACTGGAGACAGGTGGGTGTGGAGAGATAAAAATATTTTGATTGACTCTTGAAGATGTTCTACAGGAAAAGATCAGATGCTTTTACAATACTTGTAAAATATGGAAACTACCTTCTTGGGAATTCAGGATTCATGTTATCTGATTCCAAGACCTTATGACCTCCTGAATATGTTCTACATTTCATGGAGTAGCCTGAAGGAGAGACCAAGCAGGCCACTTAGAGCTGATATTACTTCAGAAATATATCACTAGGATGGACCTCAGCAGGAAATCTTGGCACAGTTTTCTGGAATTGTTGTGACTGAGCACAATGTGAAGAGGAGATCATGCTTTTCTTGCATAATAATAATTACCAAAAGGCCTCATATAATTAGCAACTATCAATTCTGACCAACCCAAGACAAGAGCCATGAATTTAAGGTAGATGTGTAGTAAAGAAATAGAAATTCATCCACTGTCATTTATTTTTTTTAATTAATGAAAAAGATTTTAAAAAGAAATAGAAATTCACTTGTTTTCTAGGAGTTGAAGTTATAAAGTGCCAAGATTTATAATGGAGGGGAACTAACCCTGTGTTTGGGACTCCTGCTTAGATGGTCAATGCCTTCATTTATAGAGTAATTTGAAAGGAGAAACTGAAATGAATTCCATCATTCTTGAATGGTGGGTCAGAAAGATTGGATACACCCTGGACATAGCCACTGACCTTTTTTTGTGAAGGCTAGTTAGACTGCCTATGCTATGCTTCCCATCAACTAGTTAAATAAATAGTCCGTTGAAAAAAAGAAATGGCCTTCTGCAGCCTGATTTATTCTGGGTGAACCTATGCAAGTTCCTGATGGTCACCATATCCTTTCCTCTTTCTTTATTAATTAGCCATTTCATGTTTTTTCTCCCATAGGCATTAGTAGAGATTATTAAGCTTTTTTTTTTTTTTTTTTTTTTTTGGTATGGGGATTGAACTCAGGAGCATTCAACCTCTGAGCCACATCCCCAGCCCTATTTTGTATTTTATTAGAGACAGGGTCTCACTGAGTTGTCAGTGCCTCACTTTTGCTGAGGCTGGCTTTGAACTCGCAATCCTCCTGCCTCAGCCTCCTGAGCAGCTGGGATTACAGGTGTGAACCACTGTGCCTGGCAGAGATTGTTAAGATTAATAACTATGGTTTTTAGATATAAAATCTAGACCCCACATTTGTTTGTTTAGTCGTTCATTTGACAAATGTCTGAGTGTCTTCTATTCACAGGTTCATATTAGGTAAAATGCCAATAACCAATTCACCACCCCACCTTTGCTTCATTCTTACCTGTTGCCTATAAATGTCTGCTCCTTTACCAAGCTGTAAGTATCTCTGAGGCCTTATTCATGTTTGTGTTCCTTCTGTTACTGTCTAGAAGGCTTGTTATCAATAAAATAGTGAAGGAACTGAAGTGGAATCAAAGGACAGTAACCGATAAAAAAATACAAGGAACTAGAACTGACTTTTCCTATTCTCTTTTAAACCTATTTCTATTTTTGACCTTTGAAAAACGTTTTCTTCCTGAAACCATTTCTTAACTCTTCAAGACAAATGATATTTTCTTTGACACTTGTAATGAAACTTGAGATGGACAGCTAAATTTTTATTATAATATATCAAGTAACTTGTGGATTTAGAATTACTCCTTGGCATATATTTTGTTTGTTTGTTCTTTTTTTGGGGGGAACTTACTTACTCCTTTCTGATTTACTATCACCATCTCTTACTCTGTTCAGAACAGTTTACAATCTAACTCACTTCTTCAATGAGAAGCCCTTTATTTGAATAAAAGTCAGCTCACTGTCTTGAGACAGTGATGTACAATGTAAACATACATCCAATGGGCTAATAGGCAAATTTAATGGACGTAATTAAATTCTTACTTCTTTCCCCATATTCCTCTATACTTCACCTTTTCTCTTCTTCCAAATGTCAGAAATGGCAATTCTACTCATTTAGTTCCTTAAATCCAAAACCCTGGGGTCATTCTAAACTCTTCTCTGCCTCTCATATCTTTTATCTAATCCATCTGAAAATCCTGACATCCATTCCTTCAAAAATCTCTCTAGAATCCAATCACACTTCTTACCACCCACACCACCTCTACCCTGGTCTAAACTACCATCATCTTGTACCTGGATTACTCTCTCCCTAATGACTCTCCGTGCTTCTGTCCTTCTGGAACCACTTTTCAATAAAGTAGTCAGAAGAACTCTGTTAAAACACAAGTCAAATCCTGTCACTCTTTTGTTCAAAATCCTCCAGTGGTTCCACATCTGATGCAGAATAAAAGGCCAGACTCCTTATGGCCCATAAGACTAAAGGTTACATTTTGGCCTCTGACCTTACATCCCTCCCTCTCCCTCTTGCTTTCTCTAATCTTTCTGGAACATATCATTCCTGTGCTTCAGAGCTTTTGCATTTTGTTTCTTCTTCTCCAAGAAATCCACATGGCTTGGACATTCATTTCACTCAAGACTTTTCTCCTATGTTCCCTTATCACAGAACCCATCCTTGATCCCCTTACAGCATACCCCATTGCTCTCTCATCCTTTTTCTTGGCTGTATTTTTCTTCATGGCACTTATCATCACCAACTTTGTTTATTGTTTGTCTATGCACTAGAAGTAAAGCTCCTTGGGGGAAAAAGAAGTATCTATTGAAAGCCTATCATATGCCAGGTCTTTTTCAAGGCAGTAGGGATATAAAAGTTAACCAAACACAAATCAAACTCAAATGGCATTTCTAATCTACTGTATATATGGTGCTGAATTTACTCAACAAATATTCGAAGAATGTATTGAATAAATATAGCATATATTCAGGAGGATAACATAAATGGTTTAAAAGAAGAGGAGATTTGGATTGGCTCATTCAATTTTAACTCATTGGGCCACTCATCACAAATAAGAAATGGTAACATAGCTTCCCATGTGAAAGGCTGAACAACCAATCAAATTCCAGGATCCTCAGGCATTCTATATCACTAACTCTTAAGGTGTGTTTGGATTCCTCCTAGTTATACTCAGTAATGAAAAATACATGGATGGCATGATAAACTTGTCATTGGCACAGAGTGACCACAAAGTAGATATTCAGATCAGGAGGGAAGCAGATAAGAAGTGCTAAAAATTAATGAGAGACTTTGGTCTTGACCAGAGAGAGAGAAACTGTTTTGTATCAAGACAGAATAAACACTCTAAGGAAGATTAGTATTAGAGATGTTGGTAGCCAGGTTTAGATAAAGTGATTAGTGGAAAAGGAGGAAACTGTCTTCTTAAAGAAAAAATGTGAAAGGTTAGATGAAGAGGTAAACCTTAGAAACTCTTTGACTTTCCACTTGGAGAGGGATGAATGACAATCCTGACTGTAAAAGACAAGCTCACTCTTATCTCTTTCTCCTCAGCAACCAGGAATTATGAAGGATTTGGTGGTATGGGGAAGAGCCTCTGGTGAAAAACCAAAGATGGAGTGATTTACATGCAACAGAAGATGGGATAATTATGAGATGAAAGGGATAATGACCCTTTCATCAGTCCCCAGGTTCTATTTAGCCAGAGGCTTCTAGGAAACTGGCTACAAGTTGGTAAAAAATGGTTACTTTTTGTTTCTTGGACTTGAAATTGAACATCAATTGTATGTAAATTGTCTGCTCTAGAGTACAGCCCTATTGGTTCAGTTCTCCATTAAAAGACCTATTGCCACTGACACCTTCACTGACTAGAAACCCCTACCTGTCTTATTGTTCTGTCTTCTTATTACAGGATCTTTATTCTGAGTTCTTTTTCAGATTTCATCCAGTTCTGCTTCTTGCCTCTTCTGACAAAGTCCTGGCCCCATCTCTTCAACAACTCCCACCTTCTGGAACTGCTTCACCACTGGCCCTTACTCACATTGACAAATGTCAGCTTAAAAATCTCATTTTCATCTTTACAAAATCATATTGCTTTGTAACCCCCTCCAGACACATATAATTGGCAGATGTAGCCAGACACATGCTGTCTTTGAATCCAGATGGCTTTGCAGCAGCCTAGAGCTATGCATTCTATAAACCCTTGTGCCAAAGGGGTAGCATTCTGTCACATGATAATTTTGAAATAAGAGGATTCAAAGAACCTGCCCAGGAGTTAGCTCAGCATTTGGTTATGTCCCACCAAATGCACTGCTAGTTAACTCAAAACTATTACACCACACTGCTTTGGTGAAGGGGCAGTGAACATCACCAATTTACATTACAAACACCAATAGTGAGCCAGATACGAAGCCAGATTCTGAGGTTATAGAAAGAGAAATGAATCCTTATCCTGAAGGAACTTAAAGACTAGTTCTAGAAGCTTTAGATTTGGACACAGTAGCAGATATAAATATTGATATGATTATTATTGGAATTAAGCAATTATGTAAGTGCCAGCATGGTGAAACACTCTATCAATTCCAAAAATATGACCAAATCCTTTTGGTGGCCCTAGAAGATGTGGTATGTCCCCAGGACAGAGGAGGTCCTTATGGAGGGTGATACTGAGAGACACAAATGCTGCTTTGGTTCTCAGACATGCTGAGAAAGTGCTGAAGGTATTTGGAGTTGGAGGAGGGAGGATCCTTGTATATATCAGTTCTATGTCAAAGATCTTTTGGTACATTAGGCTGGAGAAATTTTCTGTGACCTTGGATCTGTGGACAATATATGAGATGATGAAGGGTGTTTTTATTAAGATATAACTCAGAAGTGACAAAGGATCATCTGAGTAGACTTACCATCTGCTCCTTCACTGGTTTTGCTTCTTTTATTGCGACGAACACGCCTACTTTCCTCATCAGAGTATGACTTTTCATCAGGGAAGAAGAAATTCAGCAGGGCCATCTGTGCAAATAATAAGTAAATGAGTGAAAGGTTGACCCTAGTCAGCCATAGCCAACATTAAAAGAAACAAACAAACAAACAAACAAACGAAAGCACAAAAAGCAACTAGTTTTCATTAGAAGGTCTGCCTTTACTTTAAAGTCAACATGTCTGAAGCCTGACCCTATCTTGTCCTGCATTATACAAATGCTTTTAATTTTGATGCCATTATTGTTTGAACCACAAAGACATAAAATTTTAGTTAATTTTTGAATCCCCTCTCTTCTTCCCTGAATATCTAGTGAGTGATACAACAGGTCACAAGTGTCCATGGGTTCAGAGGCCCTAGCCCCAAATTTCTAACTCTCCTCATATATACTAATAATGATGCTTGCCCAGAACTAGACTTGAGTTTGCTACTCCTCTTTAGACCTCATTATTGTAGACCTCTGATTTTGTCATATTCCTGTTTATGCTGTACTTTGGTTTGGTACTGAGGTACCCTGTATGTCAACACTCTGTGGAAATTACTCATAACAAAGCGAAAAATTATTTTCTTCTTTTTCCTAGACTCCTACAACACTTGCAGTCTAAAAAATCATTTTGATCATGTAAATAAGTAGATTATTTATCCTATTTAATAATTTTTAAGGAAAAGTTTACTTGCCCTCCTCCACTACTAAGTTGTCATACAATAATATATCCTAATAAAATATGATGGTTAGAAAAGGAAAGATTCATTTTGGTACTTGTTCCTCTACTGTCTTGTAACCACTGTCTCTCATAATAAAACAAAGTTTCATTTGTGAATTATTCTAATCCTGACTCAACAACTTACTAGCTGTGTAATCTTAGACAAGTCATATAAGCTTTAATTTCCTCATGTGAAAATAGGGATAATAGTTCCTTTCTCATAAAGCAGTTGTAGGATTAGCACAGCACTTATCAGCATGTAACATGCACTCACTAAATGTTCACTGTTACTATTATAAAAATTAATCATCAAAATAGATAGGTTAGTTTGGAACTAAAAAAGAATGAACTGAAATAAAATGAATCTGCATTTTATTCTAGTGTCAAAAAAGAACAATTCCAGAGTTTCATGTCTCTTGCATCTCTTATTAGTTGTAAAAAATGAGTTGAACCCCAGAAAGCCTTAACATTCCATACAAACTTTGTTTAAAGCCCTGTGATTCACTTTTTATATGGAACATTTATATCCAATAGCCTTAAGGTGCAGGGTTAGCATTTTTTAGGGTTAGCATCTTGGAGGGTACATTAATATGTTAAATATCAAATTAATAGGTGAATATACAGGTAATCTCTAATTGATCAATAGGACTGCATTTTAAAATGTATTTAGATTGAACCATATGAAACTGCCACTTCTTTATGTCAAAAATGGTTGAATATCAGCAATTTTACATGGTTCAACTGAGCAGGATTTCTGAGTCACTTGTTTGGAATGTAAAATGCATTTTCCCATAGAATCAACATAATGATGTCTGGCTAGATCCACAGAAAGTTACTTAGTCCGCAATATAAACAAACTAATGTACTAATAATACCATAAAATCAGACTGTTATTTTACAATAAAATCTCAATCATTTGCAACTCTATAAGTCATTCTGGATAGAAGAGCTTTCTTGAAGACTTTTGAATGCTGAAACTTACTTCAACTATATTGAATAGAAATTAGTCTTAATTTAGGGCTCACTGAATATGTGGAAGACTATTTGCCCGTACCCTAAATGGCCCCAGTCCACTATAATTGAGGGGATTCATTATTATTACAGCTACAATAATGCTTTGCTAGAGAGGAGATTAAGGTTCTCTGAGAGTAAGAAGGGAAGCACCCAATACAGACCAGGAGTAGATGAGGCTTCTTGGCAGAGGTACTACCTATTTGATCCTGAAAGATGTCAAGGATTCAGTGATAAATGCAAAATTGAAAAGGAATTTCAGGTAAAGGGAGAATTGTGTTTTAAAGACCCAGAGTAAAAACAGAGAATAGCAGTTTTTGCAACTACAAATAGTTTACAATAAGTGCTAAGAGGTGGGGAGGAATTGTGAGAAATGAACCAAGGGTTGTTCAGTATCTTATGGAATTAGATCACGTTAAGGGAATTTAGACTTGGTCCTATGGCAGTGATCATCCAAAGGATTTTTTTTCCTTTTCTAAAATTTTGTACCTTATGAAAATTTGAGATAAAATTTACATATAATAATAAAATGCATGAATTTTAACCATACAATTTGAAGAGATTTGACAAATGTATATATCTTTGTAACTACCACCGATTCAAGATACAGAACATTTCTATCACATCAGAATTTTCCTTTGTGCACCTTCTAGTCATTCTCTAGTACCTGTCTCAGGCAACCACAGTTTTTGATTTCCATCATCATATCTTAATTTTTCTCATTATAGACTAGCATCTCACAAAATAATTTTTATACATATGAATATGATTCTTCCTTCAACATAATGTCTGAAGTCATTCACATTGTTGCATGTATCAGTAGTCCATTCTTTTTAGTGATGAACAATATTTTATTGTATGCCTCTATCATTTTGTAAAATGCATTCACTCATTGATGGGCATTTGGGTTATTTCCAGTTTGGTCTAGAATAAATAAAACTGATATGAACCTCCATGTATAGGTCTTTGTGTAGATATGTTTTAATTTTTCTTGAGTAAACACCTATAATGTAACCTCTGGGTTACATGATATGTGTCTACTATAAGATAGTACGAAAATACTTTTTTCAGAGTAACTGTACCAATTTATACACCCATCAGCAACATACAAGAGTCCTAATGCTTTGCATCTTTTACCAACACTTGGTATTATCAGTAATTTTAATTTTAGCCATTCTGGTGGATATAAATTAGTGTTTCACTGTGGTTGGTTTTGAATTCTTAAACTTCTTTTTAATGTTATCTCGCTGTAAACTATCAGATTTCACTTCCCTTACTTGTACATCTTTTGTGGTCCCTTCAAATTTGCTGCTTATAATTTGCTATAGGCTTGATATCTAGTTAAAAATCATCAGATTCATGTACAAACAGAATAAAAAGGCAGTGAGAGTGAATTTGAATGGCTTTTACAATAAGTAAGATGCATATTCTCTGGTGGCTTAGAGACCATTCATTTACTACTTGATTCCTGGGTGCAATATGAATACATGAATTTATCATCTAACCAAGTTCTATGTGGGTAAAGGATAATGTTATTCCTAGGGAAAAGGGATTTAAAAATGCAAATGGAGAACCTCCATGCTACACCAAGTACAACTCCAGAGGTTCCTTCATAGTCTGTGGGCTCCTTCATGAGTGCAGTTCCTATAAGAGGTCTGGCAGGGCCTTATGCACCTCATGTCCTGGTGGTGATAGTGAGACAAGATGCTTATGTAGTTACTGTTCCAAAGTGTCTGATGACAGGTTGTGAGAACTCAAATTCCCAGAACAAGAGGGATGAGGGAGAAACAAACTTCTGCAGACAGCAGAAAAAACTCCAGCTTCCATGTGTAGTAGGAATATCTCAAAAGTCCCTCAAGAGACACTGTTGATGGGTACAAGATATCCATAAGTCAAGTGTTCATTAGAAGGGGAATGCCTGTATATGAAAATGCTTTGAATGGTTTCTATTTTCTCAATAAAATACAGAGAAAAACAATACAATATATTGCTTCAAAGGAAAGAGATTCCCTATTCACAGTGCTTTGAGTCTCAGAGGTAGGTGGATAAACTATCCTCTATATAGTATAATGGTAAAGACAAAAATCAATTGCTGTTCATACAAGGAGTCTAGGATTCTAGCTTTAGTTTTGCATTCATTAGCATGGCCTCCAGAGGCAAATTGCAGAATATGAACAAAACAGCCTTCTCTTCTAGAATATTGCTTTCCTATTGCACAAGGGATGAGGCAACAGGAATGTTGACCACAGCCAGGAATTTTGCTCAAGGGGGAAAAAAATCTAATTCTTTACACTTTATTAAGTGATTACACCCTTGTTTCTTATGGTAAAATTACATGGTAAACAGCACCTGCAGATTACAGGGATCTCAGCTGGAAACAATTCATTAGCAGTGAGACATGAGGGATACATCCATTATTGCTATTTGACTCTCCAGATATTACTACAAACATTTTTCCCTAATATCTAAACCCACAAAATTATTGGGTACTTTTTATATGACACAGAAAGAATCTAATTCATTTCTATTTCATGGTTAATGAACTTGATTGTTCTAGATGATTCATACGACATGACTCACAAGCCTCTTAAGAGAAGGGGCCACACATCATGCATAATTTTATACCTTGTGCCAAGCCCTCAGTCTGGCACACAGTAGGCCCCTAATTTATACATGTCTATTAAAAGAATAACTGAACTACCCCAGTTCATTTATGCTTTTATAACAAAATACCCGAGACTGGGTAATTTCTAAAGCACAGAAATTTATTTTCTCATAGTTATGGAGGCTGGGAAGTCCCCCAAGGTTCTGGCACATTTGGTTGTCTGGTGAGGGCTGTTTTCTACTTCCAAGATGGTGCCTTATTGCTGTGCCCTCTAGAGGAAGAAATGCTATCTTCTCACATGGTGGAAGGTGGAAGGACAAGAGAGCTGAATACTTCAGGAAGCCTCTTTTATGAAGAACTTTATCTTATTAATGAGGGAGGAGCCCTCATAGCCTATGTACCTCTTAAAGGCCCTACTTCTTAATACCTCCTTATTGGCAACATTTGAATTTGAAGGGGACACATTCAAACTATAGTACATATTATCACCAATCCATTCCTTAAAGTCAGAATTTTATCTGACCCTAATTGGACCTATTTTTGGAGACCATCATATAGAAGTAGGCTAAGGACTCAATATGCCATAGGCAGGAAACAAGTCAATGAAATCCAAAGACTGAGAAACCCTATAATTCAATGGTATTCAAACTTTGGTGTGCTCAGAATCACTAAGCACGTGTAAGAAAATGTAGAATCCCAGATTTTCCTCTCC